TTTAATATTTCATTTGTTTTGCAGGTTCTTTAAAAATTTTATGCCCATGTTACATGAAAGTGCAAATCACAGCGTGGTTAATGTCGATGATTCTATTATGAGTAATCATTATATGACAACAATTATATTTAATATATAACACTTGTTTTACTGTAAACCAATAAAAATATTTTTATAATTAATTTCATATTAGTCTTTGAACACAAAGAATATTTATTAACCAAGTACATATTTAAATTAGATTAGATTCAATGGAAAATACAAAATTTGAAGCTATAATTTTATGCTACTAAGTGTATATGATTTAATTAAAAACATCGTTAAAGCCATCTATAAAATAAAATGATAAATAATTATATAAATTATAGTAAGCAATAACAATTTATCACAAAAATTAAAACCTATATGACATACCTTGGTAAAATGATTTAGTTTGAGGAATTATTTTGCTTTTATACATTGCTTCAGAATATGTTCGTATTTGAGCAATTTTATTACTTCTTAACAATTTGTCGGATTCCAATAATTCTAATAGAATCTCTTTATCACTCTGCCACTCTGTAAGAATTTCATTAATTTGTGTTGCTGTTGGACGCTTTTCTGGATCCTTTTCCCAACATTTACTCATTAAATTTACGTAACATTGTGGAGCACCATCAACAATGGGTGGCCGTAAATTATTGTTGCATATTTCTATTTGAAGCAATGGACCAAAATCTTGATTATAATATGCAGGTTTTCCATGTAAAATTTCCCACATAATTATTCCAAAAGAATAAATATCTGATGCCATAGTGTATGGACATCCATTTAAAATTTCTGGGGCCATGTATGGCAAAATCCCACAAACCTTATCAGGTTCCGTTTTTAACGCTATATTCAATATAATTGAAAGACCTAAATCAGCAATATATGCGTCATATAAATTATCTAACAAAATATTGCCACTATGTAAATTTTGATGAACAAATTTTTGAGAATGAATTTTCCAAAGATCCAAAGCAATGCAATTCAACAGAACCAATTTCTCGCTCCACTCTGTTTGTGCTACTATGTTAAGATTCTTACGTAACGAACCCATTGGTGCGTATTTTAAAACAAGGATTAGATCTTCTGAATCACTATCTTTTGATATTCCATGAATATTTTCATAATTGTTATCGCAGTATATCTTTAACTTTAAGGTCGATAAATGTGATATAAAAGTGAAATAAAGTGAGATAAAGGTAAGAATGAATAAATCATCATAAATTTTATCCATTTATGTACCTCTTTTATAAAATCTTTCTGACAAGATTTTGATCCAAGAAATAATTTGAGAGCAACTTTTTGCCACATTCCATGTTCTCTATCTAACCATGTCGCATAATATACTGCTGTAAATCCACCTAGTCCTATCTTTCTAATGTTTTCAAATTCACTGCAAGGAACCCACGACAATTGATATTTATCTTCATTTAATATAATTTTTATATCTTCTTCAATTTCGAAATCTTTATATTAATTTGGGGATACATTGTTTTACATAATTATTAAACTATTTTAAAAATAATAAATAGAATAACATTTTAATTACCTGATGACTTATTTATTTCCCTATTTGTTATTTAATGAGTTATTTTTAAACATATAAGTTTAGTTTTAAAAAATAAACAAATGTATTATCAAAGTTAGAACATACTGGTTATTGGTCATATTTGCAGATTTTCGTTCATCATTTTCAACGCTAATTCCATCTAAATGATCCATTTCAGAAGATTTTTGATAATAAATGGATGCTTTATTTTCATCCTTTTCAACTCCAATCCCATTTTGATAGCAAACACCAAGATTATATGTTGCACCTGCATGTCCCATATCTGCAGCTTTTTGATAGTAATGGAATGCTTTATCCTCATCTTTATTAATTCCAATTCCACTATCGTAACATACACCAAGATTATAAGTTCCTTTAGTATGATTCATTCCAGCGGATTTTTGATAATAAGTAAATGCCTTGCGTTCATCCTTTTCAACACCAATTCCGTAAAGATAACAATTCCCAACTTGAAAAATGCCATCAGGATCATTCATATTAGCAGATTTTAGGTAATAAATGAATGCTTTATGTTTATCGTTTTTGACACCAATTCCTTCATCGTAACAAATACCAAGATTATAAGTTCCTTTGACATGCTTCTTTTTTGCAGATTTTCGATAATAAGTAAAAGCATTAAATTCATTTTTTTCTACACCAATTCCATGGAGATAGCAATTTCCAACTTGAAAAATTCCCATAGGATCATCCATCTCGGCAGTTTTTTTGTAATAACTAAATGCCTTATACACATCCTTTTCAATTCCAATCCCATTTTGATAGCAATTTGCAATATTGTATAATCCATCAATATACCCCATTTCAGCAGATTTTTGATAATAATCGAACGCTTTATTCATATCTTTTTCAACGCCAATTCCATCTCGATAAAAATTACCGAGATTACAAATTCCACCAGCGTGGCCCATATCGGCGGCTTTTTTATAGTAAATGAAAGCTTTAAGATAATCTTTTTCAATCCCAATTCCTTCGTCATAACAAACACCAAGATTAAAAGTTCCTTTACTATGCTTCATTTCAGCAGATTTTTGATAATAAATAAAAGCATTATAATCATTCTTTTCAACTCCAATTCCATTAGAATAGCAATAAGCAACTTGAAACATTCCATTAGAATCACCCATATTTGCAGATTTCAAATAACAATTAAATGCTTTCTTTACATCTCTTTCAACGCCAATTCCATCGTGATAACAAATACCGAGATTATATGTTCCATCTGCAAATCCAATCGCATCAAAGGTTTTATAAAGTAGAAATATATTTGCATATTTATTATTTTTTAATTTATTCTCATTTGACATTTTGAAAATTAATCGAAGTCTTAATTGTGATCTACCTGATAATAAATATGCATGTTCAATTATCTTGTGATACCTTAAAGTATACAACATGTACTGTATTTGTATCTTTATGATATACAAACTTATTATTATTTATTCTCATATATTACTTCTAAATTATTTTTGGCGTACACATGTAAATATGTACGTACATACATGTGTATCTGTACACACGTACAAAATATAAAAAGTAAAGTGGTACTGTATGGCAATACTTAGTAATACAAAATTTGTTAGTACGTACTGTACGTACGTACAGTACGAGATATGTACGTACGTACGGAATGGATACCTATGGCACTTGTATGCAGCGTGTGATTCCAAAAGTGTAAACATTTGTGTATTCGCTTTGAAATGCTAGGAGACATAAAAAAATTATAGAAAGCTTATATTGGTACTATAAGTTGTAAATGGTCTCATTTCTAATAAAGTAATGTAGCGATAATAAGACACAATAATTCTGGTTTATTAATGTACATTAAAGTCTTGTCCCAACAGCATGATGCTTTCAGAGACGTTATAGCATTGTTTTCACATTGTATCCTGCACGATTTGTAGAAAATACGAGTGATAAGACATATAGAACCTGACTTTTCTTTTTTAAATATTAATATTAAAGGAAGAACAATTCACACTAAAAAAATTTATTAACCATAGTAAAATGACGTAGGTTATTATGAAGCAAGAAGTCCCTTTTGCCAAGTAAATCTTTCTTCTTCACTTCTAGCAAAAGTAGTAGAACAAGTTTTTTGGGTTAATAGTCAACAAAATATTTGCTTTTACTTTTATATTATACACTTTAACTGCGGGTTATTACTTTTTCTGTATATTTATATTACGAGTGTCACCAAGGGAAAATTCGAGAACCTAAATTTAAGTTTCTAAATATTGTGCAATAAACTTTAACATTAATAATACAATATCGACTAAAATGAATTAGTCTAATTATCTGAGCATAGTGGAGATAGAATGCTAAACCATTTGAGTCGATTTGAAAATCAGATAAGGTAGCTGCGCAATATTGTTGTGCCAAATTCAGTAACTGATGAGCCAGTAAATTATATTTAAAATTCTGAAAATTTAAATTTTTAAAAGCTTATTTATAATTAATGTGTGGATTGATGCTGAAATTTTGACTATTTTATTATTAAAATTTTTAAAACTTTTTGGGTGCATTTTTTAGTCTTTATATAATATCTTTAATAAAGTTAGGTTAGGGTTTATTAATTAAAGTGTATAGATGGGTTTTAGTAGGTTTTATACAGTGCAGACTACCTTGTCTCGACAGCAAATTTGACTGACTTCAAAATACTAATCTTTGTTCACAATAAACAATAAATAAAAAAACCTCTTAGTAAATAATAAAACCAATCAAGCCAAACACAGCTTGGCGGTCTTTATTTTTTTAAAAAATTATTTTTAATAATGTAGTAGAAAAATTAAAATTAACTAAGCAATTTGAACGTTTAAAATTACTATTAAGCAAGCAAATTTGACACCTTATACGTATACTAAATTTAGTTACTTTATATGGGATCCGATCAACTCACCGACAATCACTTCGTAGACAATAAATTTCACTGACAATTACTTACCGACAAACTCATTTCACCGAAGCTCATTTTACAGACAAAGTAATTCTGATCAATATCATTAGGGTTAGGTTAGAATTAGAGCTAAAGTTAGTGAAATTTATAAAAAAAAAACTTGTCGGTGAAATAAGCTTCGATGAAATAGACTGTCGGTAAAATGAACTCGTTGATGAATAATTTTCGGTAACTATGAAGTGATTGTCGGTGAAATAATACGGACCCATTTTAAAAAATAAATTTAACCAATTCTTTTTTGTATATACCTTAATACGAATAACTTCTAATAAACCATCAGATTTCAATATTTCAATACGGTTAATTATCTCAACTTCCTTTCATCAATAATAAACAACCACTTGAATTCAAAAAAAAACTATTTTATTATTATTATTTTTTTTTTAAAAAACGCCATAGGGCGTAGTTCATTTATTACATCTTTATTATAGTATAATTATATACAGAATTTACTTAATGTACAGATAGATTTTCAAAAATTAGGTGTCGGAGTAAGTTATCCCGATCTTTTTTGACATTGTTTTTAATCTCTTTGAGAACCTTTAACTCTTTACTAATTCTGTCCTTTACTATGTGTTCGAGAATTACCATTGGTATCTGCTTTTTCCCCCATTTGACTTGCGTGTACCAGTACCATATTTCATAAATCGTGTCAATATTCACCCAAAGTACTGCCTTTCGTTTATGTTGTTGGTTGACATTGCTACCTGTCAGTCGTTCCTTTAAGAAAGCCGTAAGTGGTCTTCCATATTCTTTGACTATTGTTACAGTCAATGCTAAAGTGTTCTATCGTTTGTTGCTTTCCGGGACAACCTGGACACTCCCCATTCTCAGTTTGTGCTACATACCGGAGTCTATGACCAAGAGGTAATGCTCTGTGTTGAAGCCGCCAGGCTATATCTTTTTTCTTATTATGGATAAAATTCATTCGTAGCCAGTTCCACTCGTTCAACTGGAAGTTGTTTCGGGCCGTAATAGGGTGAACTGTTTTCTTTCGTAAATATTCTATTGCTTTCTTGACTGTATACTCGTGACCTTTAATTTCTGCCATGTGTATGTCTTCAAGGCTCCATGGCCAGGAGTCTGAGCTTGAGGCAATACGTCCTTCTATTCTTTTCCATGCAGCCAGATAAGGTTTCCACCATTCTGGCCATGCTTGCATTTTGACAGGCACCTCATTCAAAGCAGCTTGAATGCTTATATTTCTTCTAGTACGTAAATTTGTCTCAATCATACTTTGTTCTATCTTGGCCCAAATATTCTCACTCGTGAGTAGAGTTGTTGGTGAAACTAATTTATGATGGTGCACCAGTTTTCACCAATCACCAATCAGCATTGGTGATACTGGTGATACGGTGATACTGGTGATACTGGTGAAACTGGTGATACTGGTGAAAC